TGCCCCCCGTCGCCCCCGGACCCACCGGAGCTGTGACCACCGTCGCCTCCGGAACCACCGGGGAAGTGGCCACCCTCGCCTCTGGAACACTGATCACTGATCTAACACACTGATCCAACACACTGATCCAACACACACAATGATCCAACCCCAACAGAGTGAGGGAGAGGGTTATATATACACAGGGAACACCAGGTGACACAAGTGAAGCTAATTACCAACAGGTGAGTGTGATCCCAAAGATTACCCCACAAGGACAACAGGAAAACACGGAAACAGACAGACATAACAGCCTATTGTTTATCTGTTGCTGCCTACGGCGTTCTTCTGTGGCCGTCAGCGGCTTCACGGCTTCCAAGATACACGCTGTGCAGGACGATTGTTTGGCCGTACACTGCGGTCCAGGCATAAGCTTTTTTTTTTTTCTTCTTCTTCTTTTATTGGGTACTACCCCACTAATGTGTTATTCTTTTTCCTCTTCAGTTGCTGTAGGCCGGTGGTGGTGCTGGTGACCTGGTGGTGGTGTCCTCCCGTCATATCTTGCTGGGTCCCTGGGAGTGGGTTTCTTCACTGAGGGTGTGTCTGCCACGTGTGCCTGGTGATTTAAGTTATTTTTGCCTCATTTTGGTGGATCCTGCCCATGCACTAGCCCTTGTCCATCCACTTCGGCTGAAGCCCTGATTAAGTTTCTCTCTTATTTTTGTGAATGAGTTTTACGGAGTATTCTTTTTAAACTCCTCAAGTGGGCAGTAGTTTAAAACATGTTTTTTTGACTCATGTCTTTTTGGCCTGAGTTAAACATGGCTGATGGCAGTTTCCCCATGTGTCCAGAGGGGTCACTTTAGGTGACATGCTGCTCTGAGAAAATTTGAGAGAGGAGATTAGAGTGAGGGTGAGGCTGAGCTGACCTCCTTCTCAGAGGGGCCAGTGTGTATTAGTAAATACTTGGAACAGGACAAACACAGGCTGCAAACACAGGCCATACACTTAGGCTTTGACCCCATTGTTTTTCCATTTCTTCTGAAAAGGAATAGGAGGGCAGTGTGTAATCACTATCTTCCAGGAAGAAGCCACAGGAGGTTCTTGTCTCTTCTGAATACCACACACACAGCCAGCTCTGGCCTCAGGTCACTGCCATTACCTTCATGGTTTTAGTTGGTCTCTGAAAAAAAAAAAAATTTACCAATTACTCCAGTAATGAACATGCACAGTAAAACTTATGTTGGTGCAATTTTATAAATAATATTGCAGGAAAATGGTATATATAATTCCTTCTTTGTAGAATTTCTTTAAAGCTGTTTATGACATGATTCAGCAGATAGATTAATTATTTAAATATGGCACCATTTTTAATTATGTAAATATCTCCTAGTATTTTTGACTTACCCTCACATAGCTTAGGTAAACTATAGGTTCAGAGTAACTGGTCATAACAATTGTGTAACTCTATACAAGTTAATATACATTTCTGATACATTTGTATGAGTTTGGGCAATTTAAAGTTTTTCTACCAGCATCTGGAAACACTGCCACCTAGTGTTGTGTTTTTCATTCGTTACAATCATCAATGAATGTGCTTATATAGCTTTATAAATTCATTAGCCACAGTCCTTGATACACAGTAATTGTAACTGTTCTAGTAAAAACCGTACGTGCAGCATTTTCAAATATCGAAAATGCAGATTATGGCAATCCAGGTTACAGACCCTAACCCTGCGGACTTTAGGACCTCCAGGAACTGCCCTTTGGGGACTGCCTTGTTTTTGTCCGTTACGTTCATGCATGTAATCATCGATTGTGCTTATTGGAACAGGTTGATTTACCATCTGTAAGGTCCCCAGAGCCTGACATTGCAGTCTCCCTGCAGACCTACAGGAAGTTACTCGTCATTTCCGGTGTTACGCTTACTTTTAAACCCGTTTCACCCTGGTATTTTGTTTTGTCAAAGTCGCAAACTACAGATGATTTGTTGAAATTAATGTAAAATTTTCATTTACATTTTTTGCAGCTCCTTCCAGTAAATAATATTTAGTTGAAATGTGTTTTTAATTTGAATTACAGTGAATACAATGTAATGCTGTTTTGTTCTGTACACTAACCTGAAAGTTTGCATTAATGTATTAATTACAAAATGAAATTGTGTTAATGAACACTTGATTTGTTTGATTATAATTTTCAAACCGCAAATGTACACGGACCTACCTCTAACGTTGAAAACTATTAAAAACTGAAGATTGTCATGGAGATGTTGAAGAAGTAATGGTAAATTATTTTAAATAAAGGCTTTCTATCTAATAATTTGGTTGAAAATCACAACTTGCTCTTTACTGTAGCCTACTATATGTGAACTGTATGAGACAGACTAGAAAGCTAAAAATTATTTTTTTCTTTAAATTTGTCATACAGATATTTTAGTCTTACACACACAATGATCCAATGAAGACAATATGTTCTCCCACATGCATGGACACCAGGTGTTTACTATATCATTACTATATTTGTCCATTCTTCAGCTTAAAAAATGTAGAATATTCAGTACTGAATTACTTCTTTTTTTAATCTCTTAACAATGTATATTATTTTTGTGCAGGCCATAAAAAGTCATATTTTATACCTGCTTATTTACGTCACGTGAGGAAAGGATGACACAGTATTTCTTCATTTCCTGGTGTAGTCATCTGCAACTCAGACATAAGTCATTCATGCCATAGTGTCTATCTGTGTTTTCTCTCTTCTCTCTCTGTTTGCAGATGACTTCTCTCCTCCTCCTACAGCCCACCCGGCGCTCTGCACCTCCTGCTTACGCGCCTCCCCGGCTCTTTTTCCCACTGCTGAGAGGAATAGGATGCGGCCACAGCGGCGGGAAGCAAATTATCTTTAAGCACTTCCTAAAAGAAAAAAAAAAGTTCACACTCGTACACTGATGCCAGGGTGCCTAGGGAGACACATCCCAGACATGAACCAGAGAACTCAGTAGGAATTAGCTGACAGCTGAGTCGAGGTTGGCACCAGGGCTATTTTAGTGCGCTACTGTTGCTCATTAACGCACGTTTAACCTAAGTTGGATAGTCATTCTTTTTCGTTTATTATAATAAACAAGAACGAACTTGTACAAGTTTGGAATTGACGTTATTTGGAGTTTTCTTTTTAATAAAACACGAACAGCGCACCTGAGCTTGTGCTTCACCGATGGAACAATTTACGCACAGGACTGAACCATCAGACAGACTCAGGAAACTTCCTGTGAGCGTACGTGAAAATTTTCAGTACTCTTCCGTAAAGAGGTTACGATGTCTGGATGGAGTATGGCCTGAGGTCCGGGCGACTGGATGTGGAAAATGACGGAGCGCTGCGCTTAAAAGAGAGGAGGAAAAAGGCAGAAAAGTGAAATAAAAGGAAACTGGAAACGATACTATCTGTTCGTGCTGTGGTGTGACTGGATGTTCTTCAGAGCAGCTGACAAACTCAGCCGATCCTCCTGCCCCTCGGGCCACTGGGAGTTGTTCTGAGGTCTTCACTGCGCATGTCAGAGCGCTGGACAGCTCCAGAGAGGGAAATTTAAAAACGGTTTTTGCACAATCAAGTGCGACACAGTGAAATACAGTTGAGGAGCGTCTCTCACTATCTCCAGTATCATCCAAAACAGGTGACTTTTCTCATCATTTCTCAGTTTCAGCTTAAATTATTACTTCTGACCTTTAGTTTTATGACATATTTTACAATTCAATTGCTGTTTTTTTTTTGTTCTTTATTTTGCTGTAATATTCTGCTTAAGTTAATGTTGTGTAAAAATGAACCATATCTAGGTTTACATGTAACATATATGATTTTAATTGTTAAAAACGTTTTTTCATTTATGGTTTCACCTGATTTCATGAAGACATTTCATGTTCATTCTGGTATTGATTTGTCTTGTTTTGATTCAACATAAGGCCTTTTTACTACACATTTTTAATCAAATGTCAGCCCACTGTGATTACCTATAAAGAAGTACATTGTTCTGATATTATTAATGCATTTTCAGAGGCACCACATATCCCAGGAAATGATAGAAGGTGAAATAACATCCAGAATGTCCGGAATCATTGAGAATGATGGCCATCATCTGTCACCACAGGACTACAGGTGAGAACACAGGTGGAAACTGGCTTTGTGCCAGGAAATTTGTTACAGATTTTCTTAAGGACAAACAACACCTTTGCTCTTGGCTGTATATTGTCAAAATAGCTCAGCATCAACTGCTCAATAGATAAAAGGGATGTTTTTAGTGATGGAGTCTCTTGAAGGTGTTTTGCACAGAGTCATGGAACAAATTGTCGGACCCCGGTAAGTTTAATCTAAAGGTAGATGACAGCTCTTTTTGTGCATGGATGGGGGGTTGCAGAGAAAGAGAGAAAAAAACCTAAAGAATAAATAATTTTCAGTCTGAATGGATCTGTCAGGAACCATCAGCTCTGTTTACACTCCCACTTTCGGCACACCGAGCGTAAGCCTCTTGGCCTGCCGGCTCAGGGGGAGATAGGGGGCCCTGTGTCACCACCACCATGCACAAGTGGCTCCCAATTAGAAAAAAAGCAGGCGAAGGAGGGGTGATATTTGGTGCTGCCCTTACAGAAGGTCTGGTTGATACATGGAGACACCAGCTTTTACACAACAATTTTTATGCTACTGCTTCTGGGAGAGAGAAGGAAAAATACCTCCACTGTATCTTATGTTGAACAGGCCAGTATGTTTTAGATGTGGTCAATTAGTTAGTGAAACATCAACCTAACTGCCTGACAACTAATGAGAATTGAGTTATTAATTTAACAAATTTTTCTTACAAATAGAGACTTGTTTTCTGACTTTATCCAACCATCCATACATCCATTTTCGTCCGCTTATCCGTTACCGGGTCGCGGGGGCAGCAGTCTCCATGAGCACCACCCAAATCACGCTGCATCGTACCAACCCCCCTGAACCTTCCTGCAGGTGGTGAGTCCACTGGAAGGTGCCAACCGCCCTAACCGGGATTTGATCTTGCCCAGGAGGTGAACCCTGGGGTTCCACACCAATGACAGAGACATTGCCTCTGGGCCAGAGCGCCACTCTCTGACTTTAGCTTTTACAAAAATAATTATTCCTAACGTTGGTCCTCTGTAGACTGAATACTTTTGGTTTAGGGAAAATCACAACATTTTCACAATTTTCCACATTTGCACCAAAATTTGTATTGTAATGTTGACTTATTTTACTTAAAAAATGTCATATTTCTTTTTATTTGTAGTCATAAGATTAGGTATTTGTCACACCCATATACCACATTGAGTAGATGTATATAAAAAGTAAAAATGTCCAAAACATGTTTAAATGTACTTTTTGTCTTCAAATAACATACATATTATTGCACCTAAGCAACACTTATTTGCACATTTGTGTATTTACCTCAATAAAGTAATCAGTACAAAGATGTTTTTGTTTTTATTAGGTTATTTAATCTTTCCACTCTAAAACAAAACCAAAACAGCTTAATGACAGAAACAGCCGTTGTGTTTAACTGTTTAACTCCCACACTGATGCATTAATTTCAACGCTCAGACCTTGTTAATGTGATATTTATCAGGAGTTTATATTCACACACCACCTGCTTCCACAGGATGGTTCATCAAAACCACTAACTGGCGCATGCAAGGTGTTAAAGGACGTGTGCTGCTGATTCCTGGTGGGAGTAATGTCACTCATTCAGACACCAGGCAGACACAAAGCCCTGACCTTAAAACTGCATTTGCACCCCCTTTTGGCCTGCAGTCCTGTTGATTTCCCTGGTTTAAGGAGGTTGGGTGGAGGGTAGTATGGGATGGAGGCTGGAAAGGGGAAGCAGATGGCATCCTATTTCTCCATTATGTGAGGGCTGTCATACCAACAGATTAATGTGAGGGCCGGGCCGAAGAAAAGAAAAAACAGAGACAATCAAGGAAGTGTCTGAGGAAGACAATAGAGCCACGTGCCACTGGGCAGAATTGTCGTTTGGGACACAATAGGTGATCATTTTTCAATGGACAAGGCCAACTGTTGCAGGCAGCATGTGCTGCTGTCCCATGTTTCAAACCATCTCATGTGTTGTTTACTTATGATTCAGCCAATGGCAACAGAGGAATCATGGTCACCTGACATGCAGGGATTTATTAGTAGATTTTGTGTGCATGCGTGTCTGTGTGTGTGTGTGTGTGTTGGGTGGGGGCTGGGGTTGTGTACTTACTGCACTGCTCACAGACCCCAAAAGTAACTGAATTGTATGGGTTGTCATAGCAACTCCAATTACCAATCCCTGGTCCTGCGCTAAGGAGACTGAAGAGAATTCAAGAGCGGACTTCACTTTTCTCTGGTTCTCTCACCTAATAAAACCTGTAATGACACAACGTTGATCAGTTCAGTTCACTCGTTAAACACCAAATCCAAATAGTACGGAGCCCCTAAAGGGACATGGGAGAAAAAAAAAAAGAAAGAAAGAAACGTATCTCGTGAGCACGAGATAGTTTCTCGTGCTCACGAGATACTTTCTTTAAATGTCTAATCGTTTATTTAAATACAGTTTTCCCTTTAGGCTAGAATATTATTATCTTTCACAAAAATAATGAAAATATTGGAAATCAAAACATTTTTAATGTCGTGAGATTACATTTTTTAAAAATCCGTGATGTACTGAGGTAGCGAAAGTAGAACCGCGATAAAGAGAGGGACCACTGTATCACGAAAGTTATCACGAAATAGGCTATATTATAATAATAATGGATTATACTTCATGAAAGAAAGCCTAGTGGCATACGCACAGGAAGCACAACTCGTGCGCACGAGATACGTTCCTTTTTTCTTTCCCCCTTTAGGGCAGGGGGTCGGCAACGCTCTTTCATCCTTCAGTTGTGGCTCCCTGTGACTTTGGAAAATAAATAATGAGTATTTAATTAAAATTGATTTTTTTTATTTTAGTTTGTTCTTTTTTAAATATAATTCTAAATTTGAAGATTATGATAATCTTGTGACATGTTTTTTGTCGCTCAAAATATGCGTTACATCTGCCGATGTGCGACACATATCTGGCAGCGCGGATTTATCCCGCACCTACACCACCAGCATGATTTATTGAGCTTATTGACTCCTGGTAGGTAAATGATGGATAAATCATAGAAAATAAAAGTTTCTGAAGAGAACATTTAATGCTACATGGGCAGATTCATTTGCTTTCACTGCTGAAGAGACTGGTTCGTTCTTGCTCGGAATCGCAAATGGAGTAATATTAAAAACCTTCCCAAACCGGAGAAACTAGTGTTCGAACCATGGAAATCCATTCTCGACACTTACATGAACATGAAAAGGTATGCATTTGGCAATCCTCGGATCTACATACATACTGTACGTAAGCAGGTTTTCTCCCACATGAACTACAGGGAGTGCAGAATTATTAGGCAAATGAGTATTTTGACCACATCATCCTCTTTATGCACGTTGTCTTACTCCAAGCTGTATAGGCTCGAAAGCCCACTACCAATTAAGCATATCAGGTGATGTGCATCTCTGTAATGAGAAGGGGTGTGGTCTAATGACATCAACACCCTATATCAGGTGTGCATAATTATTAGTGTGCATAATTATTAGGCATAGCAACTCCAATTACCAATCCCTGGTCCTGCGCTAAGGAGACTGAAGAGAATTCAAGAGCGGACTTCACTTTTCTCTGGTTCTCTCACCTAATAAAACCTGTAATGACACAACGTTGATCAGTTCAGTTCACTCGTTAAACACCAAATCCAAATAGTACGGAGCCCCTAAAGGGACATGGGAGAAAAAAAAAAAGAAAGAAAGAAACGTATCTCGTGGGCACGAGAGAGGTTTTCTTGCTCCCCAGGAAACTTTTTTTAAATTCTCAAC